TCTCTCTCTCTCTCTGTCTGCCTTTGCCTCTCTTTCCATCAAACTTGCCTGTTGTTACAATATTATTCTCCAATGCTTCTTTCCGCATCGTGTGTTCGAAAAAAATTTGCTTGTCGCTTTCTTATAATCGTCATAAGCTGTTTTCTGCAATTTGCTTCAACCAAGGCTTCTTCATTTGTTTTTCTAGCTGTCCATGGGATATGTAGTCCAATAAGGGTGGTAAAGACCCTGCGCTTGTAATGATGAAAAGAAAACAGAGAATGAGAAACGCTTCAGGGGTTGGCAATCTCTTTTGGCCTAAAGCGATAGCATCTACAAAGAAAGCAAGTCCTTACAATGCAAGCTTTGCTGCAGAAGCCCATCATCTTTCAAGTTGAATAACTGTCGCACGTTTGCGTACTTAAAAAGGAAGAAGATAGTCCTACCTAAGAAGAGAAACCCATTTAATTTCTAGAGGTCGACCAGAAACTTTAACCTCCCAGAGGTCTGGAACATTATGTGAAGTAGCGTGGTGAAATCAGGCGCTCGTCAAAATAATGAAATCAAAGAAACTGACATTTTTCTGTCGGTTTGGCAATGAATCGCACACTTTACTTATTGTGTGTTAGGGTGGGGTTGTATGTGTGTATGTGTGTGTGTGGGTTTGTATGTGTGTGTATGGATATATATTTATGAAGAGAATTATGATGTTGCAATCTAATTTAATGCAGAGACAGAGCAAGAGATGCAAGGGGAATCAACAGCGGGAGCTAGTAACAACTGTAAACGTCTAAAACTATTACCTGGGACTAGAAGATAATAATATTTATTACCAGTACTCAGCCTTTTCCTGGAGTGTCGTCAATTTTTTTTACACAACTATGGCACAAAGTACTATTTCATCAGCTTCTACGATGTAGCGGCTAGGGAGTCACGCTGTCACACGCAGGAGGCCTGAGTTCGTTTTCCTGGTAAAGTTTGCTCTGGATGACACCCCCCGTACAAAAAGAAAGAAAAAAAGGACTGGACCAAGACAAAACAATAACAACAGCAACAACAATAACAACACCGTAACAAACAAAAAACAACAAACAGAAACAAAAAAGAAAAAAATCAGAAAAGCAAAAAAGAATAAAAAGTCCAAGAAAAGAATACACCCAACTAATAAAACACTGTCATTGTCGTGATTATGCTGACTAGAATCATAACCATAACATTGGCAAAGGTAATTATACTGATTGGTTGGTTGGGGTCAACCACTGGCCACTAGACCTATTTCTTTTCTTCCCTGCTGATGCTCCTATTTGTGTTTCCCTGACTGTTTTTCTCTTTACCTCCCTCCCATCATATAGGGACCCCTACCCCCTACCCCCAG